CCTGGTAAATGGGCATAGAACTATGGAGTTCAAGCCGGATCGAGGGCTTAGACAAGGTAACCCACTGTCACCTTACTTGTTCATCCTCTGTGTAGAGGGATTGTCGGCTAAGATCAATCAAGAAATTAAAAGGGGAATGATCCATGGCCTAAAGGTATCTCACACCTTCTATTTGCAGACGATAGCATACTGTTTGATAGAGCTACACAACAGGAGTGCAGGAAGATAAAAGAAATTTTGCAGATATATGAGCTTGAATTGGGACAGAAGGTGAATCTACAGAAATCTGAGATTAGCTTCCATGGAAAGCTTGGACGAAGCTATGCAAGCCTAAAGAAGGAGGGATGGGGTTTAGAGATTTTGGCACTTTTAACCTGGCTTTACTAGGGAAGCAAATCTGGAACCTACTGGAGAACCCAAAGACCCTAGTAGCTCGAGTTCTAAAAGCCAAGTACTTTCCACATTCTGATATCCTAGGTGCCTCTATGGGGAACAACCCAAGTTACACTTGGAGGAGCATGATGGCAGCACAGGAGCTAGTGAAACGGCGTCTGAGATGAAAATTGGGAAATGGAGCGAATATTAATATGTGGGAGGACAAATGGATCCCAGGAGCTGAAGAAAATTACTACAGAGCGACGTCCATGAGATCAGACTTGGGAGATGGTGATCAGGTGAATGTCCTAATTGATTTTGACACTAGAACTTGGAAAAGATCGTTGCCACAACATCATTTCAATGTTGAGGATCGAGCACGCATCGAAGGGATACCTATCCCTAGACAACCATCAGTGGACAAGAGGATATGGAGTAGAGAGAAGTTAGGCAAGTACACAGTTCGCTCAACGTATAAATTTTAGTACAAGACCAGGAACAATGAAGAGATAGGGGACGAGAATGAGGAGGCAGGGGGAGAAATATACGATCCCATGAATTGGAAGCTCCTGTGGGCTCTGAATGTCCCTCTCAAGGTGAAGAATTTTCTATGGAGATTTGCCATGACATTCTCCCTACGGCGAAAAACATCGAGGTGAGGAAAAAAGATGCACCTATTGAATGTCCATACTGCAATCAGATAGAGACACAAATTCACATATTCAGAGAATGTTCGTGGACTACTAGATAGGGGTGGGATTCGGTTTTTCGATTAATGGGTTAACCGATAACCGTACCGATAACCGCGGTTACCGGTTAACCGTTAGCCGGAAAGTAACGGTTATCGGATGGTGATTTTGGGATGGCGGTATACCGGAATCCGGATGCCAAGTAACCGACGAAAATCCGGTTTTCCGATACCGAATTTGCAGGACGCACACTTGGACCTAATTATTAGTTCTCTATTACAAATAGCAAAAGGAATTACAGATTAATAATTAGTAAATAGTAATTCTCCTCTCCTCTCTCGCAGTATCGCTCTCTGCCTGCCTAACCTAGACCCATCCCTCATGAAGTCACGATCACGAGTCTCGTCGCCAATTGGAACCCCAATCGGCAATCGTTGTTTTCTCCGACGCCGGCACACACAGACCGGTGAACCACGACGTAGCAGCCCAGCATCACAACCTCTCCGTCGACCCCGCGCCGTGTCCTCTCCGTCGACCCCAGCTCGCTCGACCCACGCCGGTGCAGCTTCCCCGTCAGTTTTCGTCGACGGTGCACTCTACGTCCGCTTCGAGTTAGTTTTCTAATTTTCTTGTCTCTTTGCCTTATTAACTTGCTGGATCATGTTTGTTGTCTATTGATTTTGTTTGTTAAAATTTAATTCCACCGCCGGTGGCAGTGTGTGCAGCTCCCCCCGCCGCATAAGTTTTTTTGGATTTGTGAAGGAAGAGGCAGAGCCCAAAGCAGAGGAGGTGTGGAGAAGAAAGAGGTCGTTGGGAAGTGGGAATTAGTGGGGAGTGGCATTGCAATGCAGAATTGTGGTGAGTTTTTGTAAATAGGTGAGTAGGTGACGCATGCTTTGTCTTGCAAAAAGCCAAAGTGCAAAATTAGGCAGTGCAGCTGCAGTCTCCACCATCTGTCATCAATCATCACCATTCACCGGTCCCCAGCCCCCAGCCCCTTCACATTCGGTAATTGGGTACCGAAATAATAACCGCCATCGAATGCATTCGGTAAACGGTATACCGATGCAAGCACGGTATCGGCAAACGGCGGGGAAGACAAGCTTTCTGGTATACCGGAAACCGGTCAGTCGGTAACCGATTAAACCGGTTACCGACCGTTTACCACCCCTACTACTAGAATCTGGAGACCAACGGAATTTTGAACCCTTTTCGAATCAAAGGAAAATCTTTCCAGTGGTAGTTGGCTCTGCGAAATAATGAAGCGAGTGGATGACGAAGTGCTGAGTCGACTAGGGATGATTCTATGGAAGATATGGGGGGAAAGAAACAATCATCTGTTTAACAACCACAAATTGGAAGAATGAGAGGTTGTTGGCCGAGTCCTAGATCTACATCTACTCGAAGAGTTCCAATCACACAGAGAGAAGAAAGAGAAGACAGAGGGGGAGGAAGAATTAGGGTAATTAGCATAAATGGTAACAAACCTTTGCACTTAGTACAAAATGGTCACAAACCTTTAATTTGTAACAATACGGTAACAAAACTTTGAAATTATATAAAATGGTCACCGCTATTTAATTTATGACCGTTTTGTTTTAAGTGCAAAGGTTTGTTACCGAATCGTTACAAATTAAATGTTTGTCATGTTTTGAGGTCGGGTAGTTTGTTCGTTAAGTATATGACACTAACCACTTGAACGACATATAAGATGTCAGGTCATGTGTTCATCGACATATTTGCTTTGCCGAATAAGAATGCCCTCAGTTGACCTTTCAATTTCGATACCAAGAAAGTAAGAAAGTAGACATAGTTTTTTCAACTAAAAAGCAGTCTAGAACCCGTTTGTGAGCCATTGAATTCTCTCATTGTCATCCTAAACAACATAATATCATTCACATACATTAACAAAACCACCATACAACTAGAGTGAATTGTAACTGTGATTGAGCGTTTAAACTTTTGAACTTAATTTGTACAAAACGGTCACCAAAAGTCTAATTTGCAACGACACGGTAACAAAAGTTTGAACTAGTATGAAATGGTCACACTGGTTAATTTATGACTGTTTTGTTCTAAGTTAAAAAGTTTTGTTATCAAATTGTTACAAATTAAAGGTTTGTGACTGTTTTGTACTAAGTGCAAAGGTTTGTGACCATTTATGCTAATTACCAGGAAGAATTACCTTGTCGCCACCTCCAAGTGGCTGGAACAAGATCAATGTAGACGCCACTGTGTTGAAAAGGGTAGGACTGGACTGGGGATGGTGGCGAGAAATGCGACGGGGGAAATCCTTTTGGCATCGGTGACGAGGGAACGCTCCTAGTGGGAACCAGAACTGGCGGAAGCTCGAGCCGTACTAAACGGGATGAGGTTGGCAATCCAACACCAGCTACTCACGGTGATTATTGAGACGGATTATCTAGGTCTGGTGCAACAATTTGGAAATGGTGAACGAAAGAGAACGGAGGTGGAATCGATTGTGGAAGAGATAGAGAAGACAGCGGAAGAAGCCGGGCTATAGAACTTTCAGTGGGCTTTGCTAAACGGCAAGCCAACTTTTCAGCCCACCTGATGGCTCACACGAATTGTAACTGGGAGGCCAGGAGATATGGACCACCAAACCTCCTATTTTCCTCTGTTTCATTCTTGCTCAAGACTGTAATGGCCCAATTTCTACCTAAATAAAATGAGCAGGTTTCTATCAAAAAAATCCTATTAGTGCTCGCCGCTGTCTGCCAATAGAGTTATTCTGCTAACTGCATAACTTGTTAGTATATACTAACTAATATATCCAAAATGTATGAACTAGTATCCAAGTCTGCTAATTTTACTAAAGTATCTAGATAGCACAGACTAGTATTCAAAACATCACAAAACTAGTATCCAACTCACATAATTAGTATTCAGCCAATCAATTACCAACTAGTATTCAATATGGATACTCTTATGTGTTATCTGGATACTAATTATGTGATGTATGAATACTATTCATTGTTGTCTAGATATTAGTTTGTGAATTTGAGATAATAGTTTATTCATGGCGGATATCAATTAGCAAACTTTGTATATTAGTCTTGGCTCTCAAGATACTTTAGTACTTTAATACTAATTCATATATTTTGGATATTAGTTAGTATCTTATAATAAATCTTCATATTAACTTTTTCGGCTGTTATTTTCTAGGGGTGGGCATTGGGTGGGTCGGGTGGATTTTGACCATAAAATGCACCCACACGCGCTTAAACGGATTGATAATTTTTAACCCACCACCCACCCACATTTAGTCTCGGGTTGGGTCGGGCGGATGGTGGATGATGCGGGTGGGTTTGTGGGTTCACCCACATCACAATTTATATAATATAAAGGAGTCAACTTGACATGATAATAGGTGAAGAGAATCATCGAGGGAAACCAGAAGTTGAAATAGGGCGAAAAATGTCGAATTAGTTCTTAAATTGGATAGAAATTCTATTATGAAAGAGTTTTCTACAGATTGAGACGATTATTAGGTGCAAGGAACTAAGGAAAATAATTCCACAAAGGAAAGAGCGTTGATCTAGGCACAAAAATTAGAGGAAAAAGTAAAGGGAAGAAGAGGGGATCTCTATTTGGAAGGTTGGTTTTGAGGTTCAAACTCCAGGAGCAGTCCGAGTTTATATCTAACGTCTCCACTCTCCTCTCTCTAGCGCCAACGACTTTGATTTTTTTGCTGTTGGGTTGAGCGGGTCACCCGCACACTCACCCACAACCCACCCACCACCCGGCGGATGGCTCCTAGCGCAACCCGTCACCCACCCACAAACCCACCCACTTAACGAAATTCGGGTCAAATGCGGGTGGGTCGGCCCAAACCCGCGGATGATCCGCCCGCATGCCCAGCCCTATTATTTTCTCTGTAAAATCAAAATTACACAAAGGAACCTTGGGGTGTATAAAAGGAGAATATAGCTGGAAGAGCGACGACGAGGAGAAATTCAGTGAACCCGACGCCAGCCGATAGTAGCCCTCTTCTCTTGCCCCATCTCGTAGTCCGCCGCAGCCCAAAATAATGCCCGACGATCTCACGCCGCCTCCGGCCGATGCAGTCTCCGCTCCTCCGGAGGCCGGATCCACTCCGTCTTCACCGCCGCCGCCAACGCCTCCTCCTTCATTCGATCCGAGTCGAAGTAAACTCCTTGACCCTTAATTTATGTGGTTTCTCCCAATTTTCCCTGATAGGGTTTTCTTCCCCCGTCTCGCTTCTGGCAGTACAGCCACTGTTATAAATTGAAATCAACTGCAAAACCTTGACAACTGTTTTGTTTTTTCTCTTATTCGTCTGGCAGTGATCGGTATAATCAAGAGGAAGACATTGATAAAAGAGTTGGCGGCTGTTTACCACGCTGAGTGCCTCGCGTATTGCCAGGAGCTGCTGGAACTACAGAAGAAGTCGGAAGAGGTCAGTTACATCCCTTCTTCTTCCAGTGAAAAGTATCGATCTTTAACATACACGCCATTCGCCATACGAATATGCTTATATGAGAACTGCTGCGTAGAAGTTCAGCCTACTGCTAGTGAATTTTGCCCCAACTCTGTCCAGTTACTGCTCTTTTTCGTTTGTTGATGGCTTTAAATCTGTGGGCTAGTAGTGATGATTGTTCATGCCAATAAGTGCTGTAAATCGGTTGCCTTGCAGCCGTTTCTGGATTCAAAACCTCCTGAAGATTCAAGGAAGGAGACAACGAGACCCACAAAACGCTCCAAGAAGGGTCGGTAGGTAGGCTATAGCATGCATGTCATAGCTGGAATCTGTTCGCTTTCTTTGCGGATTGATATGCAAGTCCTTCGAATTTCTTGCTGCTATCAAATTGGACGAATTGGTACACAACCAAAAATGGTAACTTCTCATTACAATAAGACGTGATCTAGTGGCGCCATGGCAGTAATGTGGTTTGAACTGCACCTATGATTCGCAAGTTCGAGCTGATGGCGCTGTTGCTGATGGGATGCGTTGCAAGCGTCATCTAAAGAGTGCTGTTGTTTAGTTATTCTTGTTTTTGTACCAATACGGTATGAGATAAATACTCTTGTTGGAGATCGAGATGGCAATGGTAGTAGGGAACAAAGTATCTAGATCATTTTGGATGTGAAACCTAATTAAAGAAGGAACTTCAGGCCTTGTGCAACTCTTTCTAATTTCCAGAGAAAATTGTCTGCTGTTGTTACATCTTATCTATTGTCAATGTACATATAACACAGATACATGACTCAACTCTACAATTTTCTTTCCTTTCTCTATACGAAGTCTGTGTCGATATCCAAAATTCTGTCTGTAATCTACCAACGGTGAAGAGGTTTACTGAAACCAAGTCCTCAGCCAACCGTACGTTGTCACCATGACCTGGAACATGCCACTGATTTTCAACTAGCTGAGAGCAAGCACAGAGCAAAAAGTAAAGTATCGTTAGAAACACCACAGGCAAATGTAACACAGAACCAAGCAACTGACTCCTCAACTATTATTTACCTTAGCAGGCTTGAACTAAAAGGCCAAACTTTTTGCAAGAGGATACTTGCGAAGGGGAACAAACCACTCTGCCTTTCCATGATCCTTTCAACAGCAGCACCCTTTTCGTGGACAAATTTAACAGATTCTGACAGCCGATTTAGAAGATTGATCAATGCAATTACTTCATTCCTCTGTAACTGCAACTGAATTCAATCAACAACAAGAAGATGTAAGCCTCCCACAATCAATACAACGGGTAACAGGAATAGTTATTGCTATAAGTGACGGTCTACTGACCATGACATGGAACACATTACACATGTAAATCTTTAATTTGTGAAATGAATTCTTACTGTTTGGACTATTTTGTCTTCCCCGTTTTGAGAGAACAATATCTTCAATGCAGTACCTAGGCCAAGAACCTGGAGCTTTCCCCAAAGTCTGCATTTCTCACAGCCTACACAGTCCATCAATGCACTGCAAGTGCAATGGAATAATTCTCATATTATGTCATATGAAGGTATTGATAAAGCAAAAAAAAAAAAGTGCAATAATCAATAGGAAACCAAAATAGAGTTAATACTGTAAATCCTGTTAGCAGATGAAAGTAAAATGGTAAGGTATGAAAAGGACAAATACCAACCTTATGTTTCTGAACTGTTCTTGTGTTTTCTGTTTAAGTTCAGGTCCTCGTTGACCCTTCCAAAGTTTAGCTTCATCAAATGGAAGCGGGCAAGCGGCTTGAAGTTTCGGATTATAGAGTAGCTGCCTGATCAAGGAATGAGCCTTCAGGTCCTCCGTAGGATTACCAGTGTTATACTCGGCTTGTTCCAAGTAAGTCGCTGTCTGGAAGTTCACACGAGGTTAAGTATTATGATAATGTCTAACAGAGACTACACTAAATTCAAAGAAAATAATTGTATATCAAAATATAGATGATGCGATAGCAAGCTCTGTTCCGTTGGTACGCACCTTTGTGACAGCTCGCAGAACAAAGAGGTAGGTAAAGTATAAGTTCCTAACACGTTCTGGATATCTCAAAACTCTATCGTACATCAAAGTTAGATTTTCACCCCACTGCAAGAAGACAAGAAAGCAAGGTCAGACAGTACCATGAGTATCTGCAAGTGGAAACTAGACGACCAAATCAACTTCCAAGACACTGCTGATATATGAACTAGTCAAACTAATTTCCACTTATAGACATGTTGTGGATTTAGATGACAGAATCACTGGCAGTGGAGTCTTGAAAATCCTATAAGGACTGCAAAATTTAATAGCCAGCACGACTTGAGATTCATATTAGAACTAACAGTGAAATTAGACAATGGAACTACTCATGACAGCTTATCAAGGGAGGTTTAACATTATTCTCTGAAACCCAAGGTGTTGGTACTCTAGGTTTCAACTTTAAGGCCAACATCTCAAGTAACGACCACACTATTCTCCAGAGAAATATGAGGATGCTCTCTATAATTGCCATGGTTAAAGATATAGTAACCAACCAACATGTTCTGTATAGTTCATACCGAGTTTGTATCTTCATCAAGCAGGTAGTCAGCTGCGATATGGATGGAAATGGACGAGTGGAGACCTGAAATCAATTTATATAACAATCTCTCCTCTTGGCAGAGCTCTTCAGATGGATCTGTTGATAATGTTGAAACTTCAAATATTAGTTTTGCTCTTGGCGGCAACAGATCTGCTTATAACATTACTAGAAACATGAAACACCATGTACAGCAGGATAAACAAACATAGGTGAAGGAAGTTAATATAGTAAGATCCCTCAGAAGTCAAAAGTTTATAAGCAAGTCATTCTAATTCTTCTATGAAAACAATTAGACAAGCATGTTCGTCAAAATAGAAAGACCAATTCGCCAAGCAAGTAAGAGCTGCACTTACACTTGGGACAGTTCTCAGAGTAAACAGCATCCCATATCCTTCTAGCTGATGGACCAGTGTATCCAGTATAGCGTTCAGGATTCAGTTGCAGATTCACATACGTCATCTCATCTGTAAATGAAAAGTTGCATCAGCAGCAACATTTGATAGCTCAATATAAACTATCTTTAACCAGAAAAATAGTAGCAATAAATTGTGAGATCTGATCATTAGTAGTTTTACATCAGGGGTGGCAGAATAGTGAATACCAATACCAACTCAAACCACAAACATAAAAGATTTATAGGATGAAACATAAAGACAAACATAAATGAAAACGACACCAATTTCATATCTTTGAAGCTTAGGGACCAGAAAGGGGACTAACCATTGTTAGTCTCATCATCATTTGTCCATGGGTTATCAGTCACTGTCCAACCCCTAAAAGCTCTATGATCGAGGGTGCGATCGACGGCAGCCTCCGGCTTGCCTTCTTGACAAATAGGCGCATCTGAGGGTAGACCACGGCGGAAAGGCCTCTTAAACAACTCAGGGAACTCATTATCCGGACATTCACAGACACTGCAATCCCTCAATTTGCACATGCCATCATCCGGCCAGAAAGGACAGTCACACCATAATTTCACCTGTTAGAGAGCACAAATGGCCAAAGAAAAATCAGCCACAAGAAAAGCTAACCAAGCAAACAACATTATCAGTTCAGTATGATCGGGAATGAGCAGCAAGAAATAAAGACAAATGCAATTACAAAATCATGCTTCTTGATCACAAAGCAAAGAAATTGCTGGCACGGCAACATGTATAGTAATGCTTTGAAAATGACAAGTTTCTAACTTTAATAAAAACCCAGTGGAGTTTGGGGGGAAGGACCTTGAAATAACGGAAGAATGGGGTTTTCACAAGCTCCTGGAGAGACGGATACAATACTTCCTCGTTCAAAAGGTTAGCCGTCTCGTAGTTGCAACAGCAATCTTCCACAATCCCAGTATATTTCTGTGCACACACAGACGAAATTAAGAACTGCCCAGTCAAAATCAGCTGAAACAATTATGTAAAACGAACACTCAGATGGGGACAGAATCTCAAATCGCCCCTGAATCCCTGAATCGCAAAGCATTCGAAATAGAATACCAGGTCTAATACGATTCACAAAGCTATGAACTTGTATAATAATGCATGTCAATCCCCGAGCCGCAGACCAAGTCAAACGGAGGCAAAGATTACAGAATTCGAACAGAACAAAACGTACCTGCTGCTGGGAGCAGCTGCAGAGCTTATTGACTTTACCGAAGAGAGAGATCTTGGGGGAGGCGGTGGAAGCAGCGGCCAGAGCGATGATCAGAGCAGTGATAGCAAAGAAAACCGCCCACCGGCGCCGGCTACCACCCTCGCTCTTGCTCTTGTTATCCATCACTGACTCCGCCATTCACGACGAAAGATAAGATCAAGAAAAAGGGAAATGATCAAAACGGCGAGAGATGAGGTGAATTTGGGGGTTAGGAAGGAAGAGATTCAGTATTCGTTGCTGTTATATCTCTCAACTAAAACCCCCGAAACTGGTTCCGGGGGAAATGGGGAGAAAGGTGATTCTGGTCGCCGCTCTGACCTTTTCTGTGCTTTTGATTTCAAAACAGGGGGCAGGGCCTTGGAAATGGCGGCCGGGATGATCAAAGAATGAATACAAAGAACAGAATCAAAAGTAAGTCGGAAGAAAGAAAACCGGTGTGGGAAAGAAAAGGAAGGTGGGGAGGAAGGAAACTCGGTCGTGGGCCTTAAGTCGGCCCGTTTAATTGAATTGAACACGGGAGAAGGTAAGTGGAAGAGGTGGGAGGGACGTGGCAAGCCGGGGAGGCGTACAACCTGAAGGAACCTCTATTCCTCTTGCTGTAAGGACTCATGACGTGTTGCTATCCATTCATATGGTGACAGGTGTCACGCGATTTAGTTTTTTCGAATTAAATAGTGTGTTTCTGTTACCAGCAGGTTCATCCGACCGTTAGCCTCCTAATTATGAAGTTGTTTGTTCTGTAATTGCAGCTAATTAATCTAATGACTAATAAAGCATTTTATTAGTGGCATAAATATTTTTTTTCATATATGTATGCAGAAATTATGTTAAAATAGTGGAAAATCTTGTAGGTTCCCATTTTATATAGTGCAATTCCAAAATATTTCATAATCTATGCAGTTGAAATTACGTAAATATATAATTGAGATTATACAGATTGTCACTAAAGTCCACATGAAAATCAACATATTTTTTCCCAATTGGATGAAAATCTCAACCTACCAATTGCATCCAACCAAACGACATTTTGTGTACTTGAGTGCAATTACACATGCAATCTCAGTTTGTATTAAAATTATGCAATCTCAAATATCTTGGGAATAAAGTATGTGATAACTAACTTGTTAAAATTGGGTTCCACGTGATTTTTTCCCCAATTTTTCTAACATAATTTTTCATGTAAATGTGTTAAACCAAACAAAAATTCTGCAAATACATCTCACATAATAACTCTAATGAGTTGGTCTAATAGTAACGTGAGAATGAGAACATCCACCACATATAAATTTCAAAATTTAGGAGTCAACAACGGAAAAAAATAACACTATAACACAATATTAAGAGAAGTAATATAAAAATATGTCAATCTAACCGCACCTATCTTGAGAAAATGGCAAATAATTGCGGGTTTTCCAGTTGTTAAGTGTCGAAGTTGTGAGTGGTGTTATGTAATTATGCTGTAGCAGCCCATAGCAACGGCACTGTTTGAACCAGGCTTTAGTAACTTTTGGTTAATTATTTGCTAAACGAGTGGGCCAAGCCCAGCCAGAGCCAGGTCCACCTCTTGTGCTTTCGATGGCCATTACCGCTCTAGGACCGTTGACTGATTCCTCACTTTGGGTTCTATATTATAGTTCACACTTCACACTTAATGATTCACACACCCGCTGCGCATGTAGTATAGTCTATGGAGTAAAAGTGAGAACCTGACTACAATCGACAATTGAAATCGCTATGCGAACAAGGAAGAACCAATCGAGCACATCAACCAAGTACAGTAAAAAAATAATTAACATGAATATAAGAGAATTTTAAGCATCGCCTAATAGTATAAAGACCTTATATATATAGTTATACATACTCTTTCAAGAATGGATGATTGACGTCAACCTCTGCAACGAGGAAACGAGTGTTATACGTTCAATTCGGGTTGATTTGCAGCGCTTTAGTTTGTTTGTAACCTTGGCAATTGCGCTCAATCACATTTTCCGTCCCGAGTTAAAAGGATTAGCGGAGGGTTTTAAAAAGTAAAAGCTAATTACCTGACTGTATTATGGTGATATCCTAACACCCCTATATGGAGTTTCTGGGGCAGAACCCCCTTAGATGCTTTTTTCCTGCGCTGTGCGCAATCCACGGAAGGAGCATTGTGTCATTTGCCGCCAGTTCCCTCCATAGAAGCCCATTCATTCCCTCCATCGAAGCCCATTACAGCTCGCGTCTCTAGCATCTGTTCTACCGGAAATCGAACCTCACCGCTCGCGTCTCCAGCCACCAACTCACAGCCGAGTTGGAAATCGAACTTCACCGCGGAGACCCTCGAGCGCTCTCTTTGCCTTCCTCATCAACTGCGGGACTCAGAGCCCTGTTGGAAATCGAATCTCACCGCGGAGACCCTCGAGCGTTCCCTTCGCCTTCGTCATCAACTTCGGGGCCGCATCTCTATTTTACTACGTTGTTAAGGAAGACAGCAGAGCCCTGTTATTGTTCATGCTCTGCAGTACCGGCTGGGTCTTTTGTCTGAGCAGAATTGATTTTCGCGATGGATGCCCTGAATGTGGGTGCTTTTGTAGCTTCAAATTGATAATTCCTCTTTCGGTTCTCTTCATTAAGTTACCCTCTATCTAATTTGGCGACGGCTGTCCTGAATAGCTCTTCCTTGAGCTAATTCCATTGATCAGAGTCATCATCACTCGAAGACAATAGCAACAGCAGTTGAGTGAGTCTGCTCCACCAGTCTTTGTTTCTCCAGTCGAAGACAATTACCACCACTCGGATACAACAACAGCAGCACTCGAGTGGCAACTGCTCCACCAGTCTTTCTTCCACCACTCAAAGACAATAAGTGATTTACAGTAAGGTGCAACTGTAATCCTTTTTCTTTGGTGACTTATGAAGTCATAGAACTCAAATTCCACACATATATATTACAAATCAGGTTGCAGGTTCATGTTTGTTTTCTTTGGTTCGATCTACTGCATATCATTAGTGAAAGGGGTACAAAAGAGAGTGCTTTTGGTTGTTTATGAGAACCCTTCCTACATCAGATCAGATAAAAAGCTTTCTGTTTACTGCATTATTCTGTTTTCTTATTGTGTTTGCTGCATTTTTCTGATAATCTGATTGTGTTTGTTGTCCATTTTGTGATTGATTATGTTTAGCTTTGACATGTTGACATTGAATTTTATAAATCAAGATTTTGGATCAACCCTCTTAGTGGTAGATTAAACTTTTCTGGGAATCCCCCCATTTTCAGGCTGCACCCACTATCAACAATGCTTTTATGTCATCCCTAGATTTAAGTAATTAATTAGGGTTGTCATTTTCATGTTAGAGCCCTCTCCATCATCAACTATTTTACTTATTTTATTTAGACTAATAATTTTTACGACTACAAATATTTGTAGTTCAATGCTTCCAAGAAATATTTCCCGTAAAGAATCATCCAAACAATCAAATATTGTGGTTGACTTTCTTTTTATTTTTAATTATATGCATCTTACAATTTAAAGTGTGTTCATGTCACACATTTGATTTAGGAAAATAGAGAGTCGTTTTCTTACCACCAAAAGGTGTAATTAACTATCATTAGTCTCTATGTGAAGCGCAAAATAAGTTTTATAGTCTCTATGTATAAGCATTGATGAACTATCAATTGTTTATAATCTCTCTAACTATTTCACACTTCTTGACTTTACAAAATGATTACTGACCATTTTAAACTTCGATAAAGTAACGAATATAAGTTAGAGTAGAGAATTGATAAACATGCTCTTTATTAAAGGCAAATGCGTGTATATGGAAAAGTTATCAACATTCATATCAGAAATTTGTTATAGTGAGAGAAGTGTTAATTGATAACGAATATAGTGAAGTTGATGATAAAGATTTTTTATATGAAAGAGGTACTGATATCAGTCATTTTGGAATACCTATAATATCATTTCATTAAGTTTATATACCCTTGCATGAGTTCTATCTTTTTAATTTCAACAATGATCTATATAGAAGGTACCGTTTACAATGTTAGTAATCATTCTTATAGATGCTCATTTTCTATTTTCCAAGCAATTGGAAAATTAGACTTTCTCAATGGTTAAAAATTAAGAAATTGTCTTGCTATTTTTGTTAAAAACTGATACAATTGTTTATTAATTCGCAAGACATTGACACATAATATAATCATGGCAAAAATATAAAAAAATACTACTGAAATTTAAACCTTGAAGTTTTCTTAATTAGTGTTATTATATTGTAGCCGGCCAACGGGCCGGGGTACAATCTAGTGAGCAGTGCAGTCAAAATCCCGCTTTAAAGCGTAAAAGCGTACGATTTTACGTTTCTAGGGTAGGAAAACGTTTCAAATCACCAATAAAATCGTTAGTTACTCAAAATCGGTCAAAAGCGTAGTAAAATCGGTAAAATCGATAGAAACGGTTAAAAACTCGTTTTTATACCGCTTTTGTACGATTCCGAGCATAGGAGCAAAATAGTCTCCTTTCATCAAAACGACGTCGTTTTTGAATTTTGATTTTTAAAAAAAAAAAAAATGCGGCTGCCAAAAGGGAGAAGGGGTTACGCTGAACCCTAATTTGATCGATCTCCAGCGCCGCACCACCCACCCTTCTCCTCATCTCCCTCGGCTGCCGCTCGTCAGTCGTCACCTCACTCGGCCGCCGCTCGTCGCCTCACTCGGCCGCCTCCAGTTGCCATCGGCAGCGGCCCGTGGTCATCGGCTGCGGCCCGTCGCCCTCGTCAACCGCCTGTCTCCCTCGGCCGCCGCCCGTAGCTCGACGTCGTCCACTCGTCCGTCGCAAGTCCACAGCGCCCCGTCGCCCGCCGCCGCCCTAACTCCGTCTTCCATAGCTCGTCGTCTTCACCCGCCGGTTGTCGCTCTTCACAGTCAAAGGTTTTTCTCTTTTCTCGTTATTCAATTTGCAATCTAAAATGGAATCTTACCTATTCAAATTCAGACACGGAAACACGATGGGGGCACTGATCTAGATGATATTCAGTTGTTCACAGTCACCATTTTATGCTCTTGCAGGACAAGAGCTCAAAAAATGATGAAATTGGTGCAATTAAAGTAGCAGGCTGAAAATTGATAGGCATTTGGATTCTTAACTCGTTTGTGGGTTACGATTTATGTTTATGAACTAATTGTTATGATGTTATGAGTTTGTTCTAATTTAGACATGAATTGCAGGTATTTTTTCTTTTATCTAAACTCTATGAACTCATATTTTACATAGTTTATGCCGTACTTAACATTATTTTAACTATTATACAGGATGCATCAAAAACTTACGCTTTTACGCTTTGATTCACCGCTTTTCGATTTTACCCCTTTTCCGCTTTTAGGTAGAATCGCGCTTTTAACTGCATTGCTAGTGAGTATTGTCGAAATTCATATTTAGTAAGTAATTTTAATACGAATGCAATAAAAAAAAAAGTGTTGTGAAGTCTCCCGGCCCACATCATCCTGGCAGTACTGTCGATATATATATATGTGAGACTGAGAGAGACTCGTCGCTTTTTTGTGGCCGGATAAACAGAGTGAAAATTGAAAGAGAAGATGATGAGTGAGTGAGTGAGTATGTAAATATATTATGGTCACATGGATTACGTCGCTGGCCTGCCCCGCCTCCAGTCCAACTGCAACTGCACTGATCAGTTCGTTTTTTTTCCCCCGGTCAAAACTGCAAAAGCTAGCGTCGACGCAGGCGGACGACTAACGGGTAATGAACAGCCTACGCTACTACGCAGCACTGCCCCCTCTTACGTAATACGGACCGACTCTGTCTGTAGAGCCAGCCACCATCCGTACATCATATATATAAAATAACATATCCGACGTCCGTTACTGAGAATCACATCTCTCCTACGTACGTTACCCTAGCTCTTAGTTAACAGAGAAAATGACGCCGTCTCTGCCCTCTCTATCTGCAACTTACCCCTTACAAATGCAGTACTACAAGTTTTACTCTTCAAATCACAACTTCTGCATTTGAAAAGAGATGCTACTGTACATCAAACACAACATTCAACAAGTAACAACAACCGTACTACGCAATTAGTTATGATCAGGACCGTTAAAAGGGACGGGACTGCAACAATGGAATCCGTTTAATTAGGATGGTGTCATCAATTAAGCTGATTAGCTTCCTCCTCTACATTATATTAAGCACGAGTAAGCTTAATTTGGAAATATACGTAACCACATATCATGATTTCCGACAAGTTCCTAACATCGTTTTCCTATGGATACTATTACTAATTAAGTCAAGAAGGGGGGCAAAAAAAAAAAAACAACTATATAATAATTAAGCAGTTAAAAAGCGGCAAATTGCCTAGCTACTTATAAATTAGGGTTTATGGAAGCTGTAATTAAAGGGGTTTAGAGCCAGAGGGCGCCGGCGTCCTTGAGGAGAGGGACCAAGGAGCCGTTGATGTGGCAGGCCATGAGCGTCTCTATCCCACCCAGGTACTTCCCGCCCACGAACACCGCCGGCACCGGCTGCCTCCCCGCCGCCACCCCGCCGCCCTCCGACGACGAGGAGGAGGAGGACTCCTGGAGGAGGTGGAAGAGGACGGCCTGGATGTCGGGAGCTCCCGAAGCGAGGTGGTCGAGCTCGACGATGGTGGGGCCGACGCCGAGGCCGAAGAGGAGGCGCTTGACGACGGTGCACATGCAGCAGCCGCTCATGCTGAACACCACCACCGCGTTGCTCCCGGCCACCTCCCGCACCACCTCGTACGGGCTCGTGCTCTTCTGATGACGATCCGACGCCGTAATGGGAGAAGCAGTAGTAATCTCCGGGACCTCCTTCGCCGCCGCCACCACGCTGCTGCTCCCCATCGCGACCGTCACCGCCGCCGGTAGTTTGTTCGCCACCACCTGCATATCTGTTGATCTCTCTCTTTGGTAAGGATTTGCTTTTTTTTTTTTTTAACACAAACAATGAGACAATAATACAAGTGTTGAGGGTTTGTGTGTGGGAGATATAATGATATATAGTAGTCAAACTCTCAAACAAGGCACAGACTATAGAGGGATCGGAAGAGTACTTTTTATCGGATTGACCTTGAAAAAAGAAAGAGAGAGAGAGAGAAGGGGGAGGTATATATGTACCGTAGCCGGCAGCTTCTGACGACGGGGGTATTAATTGTTGTCTTGAACTTTCTTTGTGATCTCTGCTGCTGCGGCTGCCGGTCGCGGGGTTTACCTTCTTTGGCTAGTCTACCTTAACTTCAACGCAGCTCTTATAGCTCTATATATATATAATCAATATGTTGTGGTATAAACGTGACAAGAGTCACGTAGAACAACAGACAACAGAGGAGGGCTCCTGCAGGTGATTCTAGCTAAGTCCAACCAACTGAGAGAGAGAGAGATCACAACAGAAAAAGGATTCTGTTGGGAGTAATGATGGTCATACATATATATATATATATAGCTATATAACTCGCTCGTTATTGGTTGGGGGATGGCTAAGCTAGCTACAGTCACGCCTATTGTACTCAAAATGAGTTACAGAGAGGGAAGCGGAGTAGTCCTGCAGCCAGTCAGGCTGCGACTGGCAGCTGACCAACCACTGCAGAAGAGAGATGGGCAGGCAGGACAGGAGGGAGTCATACGCGTGATTCTTTTCTTCCTCCCACTCCAGGTAGCCTCCCTCCTCTTTCCTTTTGTGCCGTACGCTCGCTGTGTTTCACAAAACGGAAACAAACAAACAAACCCCAAAATATTATATGCATGCAGCCAACGGGGCCGGGAGACCTGAAACTGACAACCGCTCCCCGTTTCACTCTCTCTCTCTCTCTTTCCCGTTTCACTGCCACACAGTCTCGTTAATTCATCTCATCCCCATCTTCAAGTCATAACTAGCACCGAGCCTGACCCGTTGACCGAGAGAGTTTAATTATTTGTATTTTGTATATGTTGAGTAAATAATAGTATAATCATGTGAGCCAAATCCTTCTTTCATTTAAAAAGAAAGCATCAAATAATGTGAGTTGTTTGAATTAACAGGGGATGGAGAATAATTCGGTGGCAGGTTATGGTTCATAATACACTACCCTAGACTGAACACACGAAATGATAAAAATCAAATAATAAGAACTGAATGGCGGGGTATGTCCAACAATTCTATGAACACATGGAACAGTCTAGACTCATCAAAAGACAATGGAAATAACAGTCTAGTCATCAAAAGACAATGGAAATAAAAAAACACGAATAGAAGAAGAAATGCACTGGAAGCTAGGGCCAGCCATCCAATGGGGTGCACTGTATTCTTCATGGAATCTCACACTGCATCCAGCTTTCTCTTTAGTTTGTTGTCTGAAGTGGCGCCAGCTTCACTGTCTCCTACAGCAACGCCTTCAGAGGAACTAACTCCACTGTTAATTGATGAAGAGGATCCATCTTTGTGCAGTACAGCATCATTAACCTGAGAGTTCACAGCAAATTGTTGTCAGTTGAAAATTTGGTGTGATGTGTAGCTACTACTTGAACAAATACTTAATAGGACCTAGGTAAGTTGATAGGGAATGATTATACCGCTATTTGTCATAATCGCAAAATGAAACACTTACTAAAAGACAAAAGCATCATAAATAGGGGAGGGGAGAACATGGGTAAGAAAGAACAGTACATGACACCATTAAATCTTAGGGTCATTGGATTTGCAGGCGTATGTATCACATTCCCAGGGATATTAAAATATATGCAGAGTGGAAGAAGACTTTAAATTCAGAACCACCAAGTTGCATTACTTGTTAGCATTGTAAAGTACATAAGTCAACTAACCTGTGTCGTTGGATCTTGAATCTTGAGCACACTGAAATCGGCTTGAGCATCGCTATAGAGGTTGATCTTGAATTTGACATTGAACTTCTTCGTTACACCCACCAGCTGAAGGAGTTCTTGAGGGGGGGGGACTCACTCTCTTGACCAGACTTGTGGAAGAGCTCATCACCAGTCAACCCAAAGAAGCGTTTCCCTTCGTACTCAAATAGGATGAATAGAGCTGCGCTATCTTCGCTTGCTACTTGAAGCTGGACACGGTATCTGATAGTTCATGACCGAATAAAAACACATTAACCAATCAAGTATTAATATTTGAGTCCTGGAACAGTAAAATGTAAGAAATTGAAGTAGTAAGTTGAGGTTTACTTAGCAGCCTTGTGCGGAGAAAGCTTGTTGCATCTGACACAATAAAATTGCCCTTGTCGTTGTATAGGCTTATACACACAGCCAGGGCAGCCCATGTAACACCAACCGCTCTTCATTCCTACCACTTTGCACTCAACAGAGAAGACCATTTCCCGATGAGAATAATTGCACAAATCAGATTATCATGACCCAAACTCAATGACATAATAAATAGAAAACAATTAACAGGGCACCTCATGGTCTGGGTCAGTTTGTAATTCAAGAAGCTCAGCAAGGGAAACCACAGGAATTTCAGCGGGTGGTGGTGTTTCAACAAAGATAGGTTGTTCTGGTTGCTCAGCCCTAGTATGGAACAGAATATGGAGTTAAACTTTAAACGGAAACAAATAAATTGAGCATATTAATGTATTGACTGCCTCTGAAATGTCAACCTGGTCATAAACACTTTTACTTCTGGAATGTCAAGATTACCATACAGAATCGTTGAGCCGGAAGATGAAAAGGAAAAGCCACCTAAAAATATTATGCATCAGTTTTTGTTGTCTCCACCAAGTAGCAAATATAGAAAAGGATGGAATGGAGATGCATTTTACCTAGGAATTCTTTGACAATCACAGCAGTAATAACCAGGGTAATTGGTTTATTAGCAAGGTCTTGAAATATCTTATCAGAATAAGAAATCACTCTGCCCCAGAGAACAACACTAACAACATCACCCCTGCATAAATATGAAACTCCCATTAGAGAGGTATAAAGAAGACCAAAATTATCCCAAGCAATGTATTTCAGCAGAAAGATTTCAGGTTCAAGACGTCAGGATATGAAGGACAACATATTGGGGTCAAGGCATGAGGTCTTTTCAAAATTCAGTAAAGCAAGTGAATCTACACAATGCCAATTAAACTTGGTAATGGTGTTAGACACCAATCATGCTATGCCACTCATAGAACGTTTTTTAGAACATCTGTACAACACCCTGCATACTTCAGATTGGGGATAAACGCTCAATTTCAAACGCAATAGACACGGAAAATGTTGACTACAACGTGGGCCGCACGTTCTCCCACGCCCCCTATGAACAAAAAAGCAAAATTGAATCCCAACTCCTATGAATTCTATACCCAGAATGAAAAACACCCAGGTGAGGGAAATATGCAGCGTTTCATTAGAAACAAATGCATCAATTAAGGGGCAGCCACTGGACATGGACTGTTATGTTCAGCATTATATACAAACTCACATCAGGGAAGGGTAATAGTCCAAAATGAATCAGGCATCAATGAGTGGTAACTTACTCTATCAACTTGATTTTCAGCTCCTTTCGTATGGTTTTTCGAGCAGTGTTGGAGCTGGGGATTGACTCTCCATGTTCAACTAATTGGCCAACCACATCTATGCATAAAAAAAATGGAATCCTATAAGTTGGGATATAAGTGTCAATTCCAGAGAACACATTAGAACGCAAATGACTAACCTGAGAGGACGGTAATTTCCCTAAATCTTCCAGGCATCTCACTTGCTCTCATGAAACTAAACTTGAAGGTTGGTGTGGCAGGAATGGCAGGGACATGCTGGACAGTGGTTTTCCAATTGAAGTACATGATATACGGGTTGGGAATTGGTCGGTAGTCTGAATCAGTGGTTTTGAGATGAAAGTTCCGAATAATGTAGACATGGTGTTCCTTGAGCAGCCGCTTGAACTTCTCTTACAGCACTGGCGGGATATGAACCCAGATGTCATTACCCTGCAGAAGTTTGAAATACAAAGTATTACAGTCTAGAATCACCAACAGAGTTGATTATGGAAAGTTGATACTGAAAAGACATACCGACCTTTGAGTCCATGAGAATGACGTCTAAATGAAGAACTTTGTCCGTGGTCACATTCACACCAAGCCAGAGCCTAGACACACGACAGTTCCCTGACCAAATATGTTTCTCAGATTCTAGGTCTCGCATGTTCTCGGATTCCATCTGCCTGCTTAAACAAAGCACAGTGCGAAATAATCAGGCAGGTGACCATAAACTGTGTCCGAGTTATGAATGGAGACAGGTACAAAAGCTAGGAAAAAGGTTTTGGCACCTGGAGAAAAGTAGGAGAGTGTGCAAAAAATTGAATGATGATAAAGGACTGGAATATATAATTCTCGATGGTGGCAGTTGCTGAAGGGACATAAGTCCTCACGTTCTCCACAGAGCGCACCATCTTCAGAAATGTAGGAACCCGCGAATCCCACGATGGCTTTTTGGGAAAATTGAGTTTGAGTCGGAGGTAACTGCCACAAAGCCAACTGCAGCGTTATCCAGTTACTGAAAATCATAGCTGGAAGGATCTGAACTGCGGCAGATTGTGGGTGGACAATCTCTCCTTCTCCTTGCCGCTGTTCTTCATTGATGCCGCCAGCTGAACTGCAACCATGCTTCCTTCTGTGGTGATGGCGACTTGAAGAGAAAGAGAAGAGAGAAGCTAATGAGGAATCTGGTGGGGTTGATAATCAATTAGGGGGTGAGGATTGATTGAGAAGTGTGGGGAGCAGATATCAAATTAGCGTGAACAGGTGAATCAATTGGGAATTTCATATTTCTGGCTGGGTATGGGAATTTTTTTATAATTTTTTTTATTTGAAGGTAGGGTTTGTAACGTGTGGATCCAATGAGAACCAAAAAACGGCACACCGCAT